GGAAAGAGTATATTTTACATTTAACAAAATATGGGTTATAACTGCAACTATGCACCAATCCCTAGAACCACCAAAGACTTAACCTACTGTTGATTGGGTATCTGCCTGGCAACTTGCCTGACCAAATTACAGCATTTTAGAAAACTAAGCCTCCTTCATTTTCCTAAGGGCCTCTTTCTTTAATCCCTTGGGACTCAGATCATTTTTCCCCCTTGGAAACCTCCATCCTGCTATCTCCCTTTCTCTTTTTCATTTGGTTGCTGAGTGGCCCGATCATACCCGGTCTCACTTGTTAGTAGCTTTCTGTGCCACTTGGACAGGCTGCTCACATTCGTTCCTCAACATCACGAACTCCTGTTTCTTTCATACGGCTGGCATTTTGGCTTTGCATCAGTTTATATTTTCACATATTTTCTCTCTGTTAATGACTCATGAGGTTGCTCCCATATACTTATGTGGTTTCTTCTCACCGCCTTTTCCTTCCCTCACCCCAGCCTCTAGTTTAGTATAATTTTTGTACCAGCTAGTCGACTATTATGGAATCAGTAATAGTAGTTGGTTGCCTTGCTTAAAGTATTAGTTACCCCACCTCCATGCCCAGTTACCCCACAACTGGGCCCGTAACTTGCTGACAACTCAATATCTGCATCCTTGGGATCGTCCCGATATCCAGGCCTTGTCCAGGGCTGAGCTGTGTGAATGACCCACAACTCGAGAGCGGGCAGAGGCGATCTCTTAGCCAAGACCCTCCCCTCTTGCTTCCATGACCTCTCTCTACACAATATCGCTTTAAGCTTTTGTTAAACCCAGTTTTCCAGGGTTCTGTGGCTGTGTGGACGCTACAGCTTTAGGGATCAGTCTCTTCTGGGGATTAGCCCCTTTCAGCTGACTCACCTTGGAGGCCTTTGTGGGCAGATTAGGGAGTTTTGCTGGATCAGCATATCCTCAGCGGTACCGCGGCCTGGATTTTAGCTGGGCTCCGGCACTCTCTCCCTTTTGTTTTTTGTTTTGTTTGGTTTGGTTTTTTTTCTCCTTACTCAGTTAAAACAAATGCAATTGTCTAGAAATTTCTCTGCATTTTTTTTCGTGAGGCAGTAGCTGATGGAAGAGGGAGTGATCATGATGTTAATGATTAACCAAAAGTGGCTCTGTCCAAAGATCCCTTTTGTCATGGATCTGTTTTCTCTTAGGTAAGCCAAAGTACTGCGAGGCTGAGTGTCAGCCACACATACAGCTCTGAATGTGTTGTTTAGCTTCAAAAAGGAGTTAAAATTATTATTGCTGAAATTATGTTCAATTAAATAACTCAGAGAGAAAAGACGAATGAAATCTAAACTCTTTTACAGAGTCACAGTGAAGATGAGACATGGAGTCACTTCCTACATTCTCCTCCGTTGTAAAAATGTTGGAGGAACAAGTCAGGTGCTCTGGGAGCTCAGCTAAAAGAGGAATCGCTTTCAGGTGGGAGCTTCAGGGAAGATTTCCCAGGAAGGAATCACTCAAGACACCAAGTAATGCCACAGCCAAGTCCCTACAGCTAATTTGGTAGTACATAGGTGATAGAAATGAGAGTCGTGGTTTTGGTTTTCTTTGTGAAGACAGTATAGAAAAGAAACATGAGTTCAGGGCAACCAAAGGTGAGCGACCTCAGGGCAAGCAGAGGTCTCTAAAATTGGCCCTCTAAATTTTGGAGGGTGGAAGAGACATTGATAAAGCTGCTTCTGGCAGCTGTAAAGCCTGAGAGGCTGTGAGAGGGAGGATGAGGAGTTTCTCTTTCTTGGGCTGTATTGCAAACACCAAAAAAAATCCATCAGGTGAAATAAAAACAAGGTGAGGAACAAATAAGTTCTTGGAACATGGTCGCTGTCTCCCCTTCATTCTAAATGGTACTTGCTGAGCTGAGAGAAGGGAGGAAGGGACAGAAATTCAACTCAGCCAACGGCTTTGGTCCTGTCTTGTACAGGTGTTTTGGTGTTTGTGTCCAACGTGGCTCTCTCCAAATGAACGAGACTCCCTAGGTGTGGACAAAAATGCATGAAGGGCTTTAGATGGAGGTTTCACTCCTGAAATATTTTCACCTTTCTCAGCCCACGATAAGCTGGCAACAAATCCATCTTCCTTCCTCACACCTAGGCCTTGATGTGCATTCCAAGAGAGGTTATCATGGAAAGGGGGTGCAAAACCTTCTCTGAAATCATATGCCAAATTTTGTATCTATTCATTACTTTCACATATTTTGACCTCCTCTCTCCAAAAAGGTAAGAACCATTGTGCCTAAAGAGTAACCAATTGGTGTCATCTCCGATGTCCCTTAATTCTCTTGAAATCCAATTATATCCAGGGCATGGCAGTTAATTCTTGAATTCTTTGGGCCTTGGACCATCCCCAGAGAAAACAAACACAACTTCCCAACCTGTCCTTGCCATGTCAGACTCAGGGACTTCTGAGAACCTCCTGATATGTCTTAGTTAAAAATCTACCTAGAATGGACACTTTACCCAGGAACATATATGAAGGGTCAATAAACATGAAAAGATACTCAATATCATTAGTCATGGGCAATGCAAATTAAAACCTCAATGTGATATTTCTATATATCCACCAGAATGCCTAAAATTAAAAAGACCGACAAATACTAAGTAGTAGAGGGTTTGGAATAACTGGAACTCTCATACATTGCTAGGGGGTGAGGGGAGGAGTTCAAAATGGTGCAGCCACTTTAGAAAAACAGTTTGACAGTTCTTATAAAGTTACACATGCATTTATCCTACAACCAGCAATTCTACTCCCAGGCCTTTATGCAGGAAAAACATAGGACCACACAAAGACCTGTATGTGACTATTTATAGCAGCTTTATTCATAATAGCCCCAAACTGGAAACAATGCAAATGTGTATCGAATGTGAATGGATAAACAAATTGCAATATATCCATGATGCATATGATGGCATCCTACTCAGCAATAAAAAGGAACAGACTACTGATATATGTGACAATATGTGTGACTCCCAAAAGCACTATGCTAAATGAAAGAAAATAGACAAAAAAGAATACATACTATATTATTCCATTTATATGACATTCTAGAAAAGGCAAAGCTACAGTGACAGAAATCGGTGGTTGCCAGGGGCTGGATGTAGGGGAGGAAACGAACTGTAAAGGGGCACAGGGAAACTTTAAAATGATCAACTAGTTCTACATCTTGATTGTGGTGGTGGACACAAGACTGAATATATTTTGTGAAAATTCATCAAACTGTACATTTAAAATTTTCATTATATGTAATCTATTCATCAGTAAAACTGATTTTAAAAAAAAACTAGCTGCAGAGCATCACTTTCTTTATAGGACAGTCTAAACATGGAACCCCTCTGCAAAGATAAAGGATCTTAGACTTGGGGTCAACTCATATTGTTCTATTATTTTGCACATCGGACTCTGGAGTTACTCCCAATTTCCTGATTCACTGGCATTCTTTCAAATGGGAGTAGCTTTTTACATCTTTCCCACCTTAAATATGGAGCCAAAGGATGTTATGAGCATTGCAGAGTCCAAATTGGGTCTAGTTGTATTTTAGGTATATTAAATCCACTGCAGTGTTTGCAGCAGATTGGAGGGGAAAGAAGAGAGAAAAAGCTCTGAAATAGACTGAAATACAGCAGCAGGATCGAAGTGCCAGGGAGAGACATTTGGGCAGACTCAGAGACTAGATGTGGAAGTATAAGAGAGAACTGTGTTCAAAGAAGGCTTTGAACAGTTCCCCACTGCCTTTGTGAAAAAGTCCAAACTCCTGAGCATGGGTTATCAGAGCTTCCATGATCTCCTTCAAACCTACTAGATCTTTTCACTGAATCAAAGCTCTTCAAGCACAGGCTTGTTCCTTAACACAGCAGGCACTCCATGAAAGTTTGTTATTTAACAGCAGGTGTTCAATATATACTGGTTGATTGTCCATTCACCTTCTGATGGACGTTTGTGTTTCCATTTTTGGCTATTATAAACAAAGCTGCTATTTATATTCTTGTCCAGGTCTTTGGGTGGAAATATGCTTTCATTTCTCTTGGGTAAATCCTGGGAATGGAATTGCTGTGTCATATGGTAGGTTTAGTACATCCATACAATGGAATACTACTCAAAATAAAAAGACATGAACTATTGGCACAAACAATACAGATGAATCTCAACAGACTTATGTGAGTGAAAGAAGTTAGACTCCCCCACTCCAAAAGGACAGCACATACTATGAGTTCATTTAGATAAAATTCTATAAAAATTCTATAGTGACAGAAAGTAAATTCGTGGTTGAGAGGGGGAGACAGAGAGGCACGAGAGATAAGGATTATAAAAGGCACGAGGAAACTTTTTGGGGTGAATATGTTCATGGTTTTTATGGCAATGACTGTTTCACAGCTGTATATATATGTCAAAACATAAAACTGTACATTTTAAACATGTGTAGCTTACAGTATATCAATTATACCTCAAAGTTGTAAAAAATATATTGCTTGAACAAACAGCAGGCCCTCAGTAAATGCGTATAGAATGAATGCAGAGAAGTATTCAATATTGGCTTAAGGAATATAAATCAATATCCTCAATAAATGCTGTTAGAATTTATGTGCAGAAAAAAATAAGTGAATAAATATTAAATGTTCAATAATTTTAGGGAGAATGAATCTGACA